GCGTATATATATTCATCAGTGTTACGTCTCTGATCCTGACCAGGATGATGGAGTAGAAGAAACATGTGGACAAACTATTGTGTGGATACACAGCGAGACGGACAGACTGATGAATGAATGAATAAATGATTGAATGAATGGGTGAATAGATTTCATGTGGGGAAAATCGGGATTCAGGAAAGGCATTGGGTGGTGGACAGACTGAGTCGTTTGGCTATAAAATAACGGATGATAACCAAACACGTGCGCGTGCGCGCGCGCGCGCGCGCACACACACACACACACATATATTCGGGGACAAACAGAAAAAACTGATGAGCACGCACGCAATCGAGACAACCACAGGTAGCCAGAGTGAAGGCGGAAACGATCCAGACGGGCTGCCATGCCCAATTAGTATCACCATCATCGTCACTGTTGTCGCGGACATCGTAACAACCACACGAACGGAACAGACTCAATGGGGCGGAAATCGAACACGCGAGAGAGAGAGAGAGCCAGGGTAAGGGAATAACCAAGAGGAACCATAGACTATTCCGAGACAACGAGAGAAGAATAAACCGAGCCTGGTTCGTGCGTGCAACGATTTGGGGGAAACCAGCGCAGCTGAGTGGAGGAATGTGGCAACGTAAGCAACGCAGTCTCGTCCGCATCGCAATGATGCAGTCAATAGAACTATAGAACCGAGAATAACATATGAGTTGGTGCATGCACATACAGTATGTTCTGCCGTTGTCTCAAAACATCCGTCGGTCTCTCAAAATCATACCGGGTGATGTTTTCTCCCGCACACTCGCGAAGAAGTAGAAACTTGACTTTCTCAACCTATTTACGTGATGCAAACATTAGTTCCACACTGAGCCCGATTGCGGTTTTCAATGCCATCAACTGACGAGGAGGGGGGGGGNGGGTGGATTTTTTTATTCTTTTTTTGTTTGAAAAGTCTACCGTTTGAGCATGATGCAGCAGCAAGATATTAATTCGCGACTTTGTTGCCACCCGGTTCACAATAACACGGATAAGTTTTCGTTTGCATAACCAAAAAGTAGATCCACGTTCGTGGTTGTTGGGGCACATACGTTTATACGATTCGCCATTCAGTGGAACTGTATAACATAAAACTCTTGCAACGGAGCTTAAAAAGACATTTTATCCGTGTGGAGCATTTTGATTGGTGCCTTTACTTCGGGAACGCGCGTACAACCACGAGTGATCATTTGTGTGGCCTCCGGACCGCTTAGTTTAGCGTAAATTGTTCAATATACATATATATATATATTTCGAAGATAATAATGCTTGTTTTACATTTCATTTTTTAAACATACATTGGATTCGGAATCCCTGATCAGTAAGCCAATCAGCGTGGCTGACAGTAAGCATGGAAACAGAACGACCGGTTTATTCACATTAGGCAACAGAGAGCGGCAAGACTACCATCCTGTCACCACCACCACCACCATCAGCATCGCCGTAAACAAGATACTCACTCATTTAATCACGCATACGCATCGAAATGAACGGAGCGAGTTTTACAACAGCAAACATCCGCAACAGCCGTATGCAACATTACACATCGACAGGATAGCGATCAACCAATAAACGACCGGAGAGGATGTTTAGATATACCGGACGCATGAAGCTTCCGTTGCACATCAGTTCTCCAGTCACGAAATTCCGCACGAAAAAGGTTCGTCTGACCGGTGAGTCAGCAGACCAGACAGAAAGACTGAGTCTGTAAACCAGACAAGAGATGGAGATGGAGAGTATGAGCGAGCATCACACAACTCGACCCAATGCGTGTGATTGTGTGCCTGCCGCTCACTGTCCTAGCAATCCGACTAACTTCTCGAGACAGAAGGGATGAGACCAAATGAGTTTCATTCAGTGTACACTCAGTGGGAGGTCGATTGATCAGCTTCTTGTTTAAATGAGTTTAAAGAGGAATCAGAAGCTCAACGTACGGTTCCGACGCCATCTTCCCATAAGATGAGTAGTAACCTTGGGAGCTGACTTCGCATGAAAGATAGACCAGTATGAGCAGAAGGTAAATTGGAAATGACTTCAAATGTCGACCACCTGGACAGGTGGGACACGCATCATTCGTCCCCATCCACAGCAGACAGAATCATCGTCAAGATTGGCGTTATCGAATCGGTCGTGAGCAAAACGATGCGTAAGATCCTGTCTGTTACCAGTGTTCCGAGAAAGTATGCACCATACTGAGATCACGAGAAATATAATTAGATCGACTAAAATGAGACAACAGAGTGGAGAGTGTGGGCCCAATTCAACAAAACACAAGAATTACGGAGAAAACCAATCCATCATCTTACAATCACAACAAACGACTAGTTAGATAATTCGGTCCTGGTCAATGCGGTCAAAAGAGAAAAAATAAACGCCGTATCAAGTTGTGAATTTATGAGTTCAAGACCACTACTACGATTGCCGCAACTGTCCCCTTTGGAGGGTAAATCGGAACCACCAGTGAGAATATAAAATAAGAACAGAAATCCAGTTTTGATCTGGGAGTAAGTGACACTCACGTTGCCATCTCCACGGCCCGCGGTGAAAATCGCCCCGATCATGACCAGATCGGTGAATTCCGCTTGGATCCATTCACGCAGCGATTCCTCGATCGGAGTATTCGGGCACCAAGCATGTCCACTTGTGTGCTCTTTGCTCCCGTAAACATCTGTTAATCTGATAATTGGGATGCATGAAAGCGGTAGAGACATGAAATGATCAAAGTTGTTTCGCGCCGAAATTCAAATCAATTCAAAGTATTATTGTGTTGGAGGAGCTCTCCGCGCTGGTAATGTTGTTTGCAGTCCAGTCGTAGTCAGGCTATGATGCAGAATCATCACTATAACATCGGGGAGGCCTCAGGCTGCAAACGCACTGGAGATGTTACCTAGTCGGGCTACGCAGCGTCTGCAAACCACGCTTCTGGCTCAGAGAACCCTCCGACACGAACCTTGGCATCACGAGGTAAAAGCATTCAAAATTGTACCCAACTCAAACGATATTTGGAAGACAAAACATTTTGCTCGTACCGGTTTATCCAATGAGAACGAATTCACCGGTTGACATGCTAAACATAAGTGTCATGGCATAATTTATTAATCAAAAGAACAACAATCGCAAATTTTGTGTAATCATTCAACTCTATATGTCGATAACAACAACATTCAGTTAGGCATCTATTTCAGTTCATTTATGGCTACAACGCTGGGTCCTTAAATGAGACGGTGAATGTTTGCATTAGTCCATTCGGTTTTATATAGGCACCAGGCACTGGTGATGATCCTAACTGAAAGGTTCGCGGTTCGAGTCCTGACAGGGACACAACTGACGAGTCCCAAACAGGAGGATGCTCTTTGTCAGTCATCACAAAGATTTCCATCGCATTTAAATGGGGCATTACATTCATAAACTTAATTCTTCAAAAAGTAAGCAACCAATCGACACGGCGTCAGTTTTGACCAAACGACGGCCAACAGTATTTTGCGGAGCAGATTTTACGGTAAAAGCTCCACATCTTCCAAGCCACACAGGAAATGAGGTTTGGGCAATCAAGGTTCAGTGACCGAAAAGATTCGGGTCTCACGATCAGTAAGGCGTTTATTGTTTTCAACACACTCTCGTGGTTTACATCAAGAGAATGTGGAAAAATTCAAGCGACAAGTACTGGGTATCAAAAAATGATGAGTGGGCATAGTACCCTATTTCTACCTTATAATAAAGATGTCACGGATCTCATGGCAACTAGAAATAACTCTACCGATCCCAAACACACCACCACTGCTGCTGCTGCTGTCACCGTATAAAACTTATCTGATCAATGCCCCCTCCGTGGTTGTTGTTGTTGTTGTTGTTGTTGTACTGTCTATGACCATGACTATGACAGTATTGAAGATGAATTTGAAAGCTGTTCTCATATCATGACACACTTACCGATACTGACAACTGTGACAACTGATAAATGCCATTGAACAGATGGGATACTATGCTTTCAGGGTTTCCGGGTTCAGCTTGAAGCCGGACATTCAATGAGAGATCAACGACACAGGGAAGTCAGGGAGTGTTTAGTGGGAAAGTCTTTTGCATCAAAATTCTTAACCTAAAACCAACTCCACGGAGGAAGAGGAGATATTGATGGACAAAAGGAGAATGAAGCGACGGATAGTGGTGAATAAAATCAGTATAGATGAAAGACCGGAAAACGCCGAATAACAACCGCCCAGAAGAATCCAAAACCATCGCCACTACAGGCTTAGTCTTAAGAATCCGGTTCAAGTTCTCTTCTCTAATCATCAGCTTGATTAGTCCAGTATAAATCCACCAGAACGAACTGCTGGGATTAAATGATTATTCATAAGCGAACTGATGCTTGCTCGAGCAATCTTTTAGTAACCTTTCGATTTTTCACCTTCCTATCATTGAAAACAAAAAGCAACTAGCTGTAAAGGTAATCTTCATGAAAAGGGAAGCGGACAGACAAAATGCTGTGGTGGTGGTGGTGGTGGTAGAATTCGAACAGACGTAGTCCGTGCCGATTTGATGGTGATCCCCTGCGATCACTACTGGAGAAAAGGAGAACGACTTCAGACCAATAAATTCCCAACCAGTCCTGGTAAAAAAAACTAAATTGAACGATTACGATGGAAGCTTTTAGCTTCGATGTTCCCGTCTATGAAGAAACCAAACTAACTTGAAATATAGTAGATTAGACTATGACATATTTGGCAATCCGGGAAATTCTTTACTCCACAGAATCATCATCCGTATTGATCGGATTATGCGGTTAATCATTTTCTCAGTTCACCTAATCGTTCACCACCACGCATGTACACACAAAAATGTGAATGCGACCAAGCGTAAATTGTTCTAATGTTCACATTGGGCGGTGGTGGCCAAGTGGTTAAGGTCATCACAAAGTGCCCCGGAGGGGGGTCCGGGTTCGAACCACTCGTCCGCTTCCCATCATCCCCATTTTTGTATTTTCCCAGACAGCCTTTGTAGGGCCGCAGCACCCTTCTTGAAAGTTGACTGTGCATTTGTATATTCAATAAATAAAAAGGAAGTAGAAATACATTCGACATTATATCAAGCCACTGAACATATTCACCTGGATCAATCAACACACATTTGGGTTGCGTTGTTCTGTTCAATTCTATTTTTCGATCGATCCGTACACACACACACACACACACACACACACACACTCACACACACACACACACACACACACTCACACACATGCATTGTTGGTGCTAATCACTTCGATTATACACAGCAATAGTTTACGTTTCGGGGCTGTGTCACGGGTGAACGTGATCTTGAGGATGTTCACTCATCCCATTGTAAAGCTAAAGCAACGGCGGTGCATTTCTAGTGTGCTCACGGTAACAGTCCTCGTTATCAGATGGAGTTCAAAATCATCACCACCACCACCACCAC